TCACCTCAAAGACCCGATTGTTTCTTTCTTCCCAAATGAGATACACAGTGATACCCAATGAAACTCTGCGCATTCGAGACACTAGATTGGACCTCTTGGGGAATAACCCACGAAGTGCACTGTTGATGGACAACATCCTCCTGCCAATTCGAAGCCAATCTTTTATCATACCCCACAACCTACCCGTCCAGTTACAAGCAAAAAACAAATGAGCATGGGTCTCAGCTATAGTGTGCTGGTTGCTTTTGCTGGCATCGAGGTGCACGACCTTGCTTGGTCTCCCTTTATTAAGGAGCATGTTTCCCGTTTGTCTTGGGAGCTTACTTTTGTGCATGAAAAAAAAAGTACGGAGCCTGTTCCCTTTGCTTTTAGGTTGTGCATGGGAGTCTATCCCCTTTACTGTTCTGCGAGCCTGTCTTGCTATGGTTTGTTCAAGGGAGATTGTTTCCTTTGCCTGGATATGTATGTTCATTTGTACTGCTGGTTTCCAGCTTGTTTTGCAAGCTTGTCTTGCTACTTTTTGATCTATACAATTCTTACATTTGATCAAAAAAAAAAAGAGCTCTAAGTGAAATTAGAGAGAGAAGCTCTCCCCCCTCACGGGATCAATTTCCCCTTGTGTATGGCGCTACTTGCAATTTGCTCTCGGTTACTGTAGCAGTTTGAAATTTGAATTTCTCAACTTTTTGTAGCTTCCCCCCCTTTTCATGGCAAAAAACAAGAAGAAAACTGCATCTTCGCGCCGATCTCCTGTGCGGACTAGGCAACATATTCGGGCAGATCTACCTGAAAATTCTGTTCTTGCGCTAGCAGCTGCACCTCCACGTCTTAGCTCCCCAGCCCATCCTTCTCCTCTAAAAACACTAGCGGGTGGGTCCAGCCCTGACAAGTATTTGATCTGTGCTGAGAATGAGTTAGTGGTTACGGAGAACACTATCTCCCCTTCCACTACTGACCATGTTCTGGTTGAGGACTGCTCTAACTGTGATGCCTTTGAAGAAGATGAGGTTGACTACTCTGTTTCTAAGTATGCATCTGGAGGAAGTTCTAAGTTTTTCCACTCCCCTACTCCGATCCCTGCTATAGGGAAGTTGGACCTGCCCTCTGGTGGTGAGTTGGTGGCCCCTCCTCCGCCACTAGGTGATTCTGGGAAATCAGCCTCTAACGCTGCTCCCCCAGCTCAACACGCCTCTTCTCCAGGTAATTCCCCTGTGCCTGCCCCTAGTAAATGGCGTGATCTATTTGCATCTAAACAAAATCCAGGTGTTTGCCCTAAACTTTTGCATTTCTCTGAGATTAGCACTATCAAAACGTGTACTCTTCTTAATGATGATTTGGCTAGTCACTCTGATATTTGGAATTTATGCGTTATGGGCTTTGTTGCTGGCAAATTCCCTGGTTATAAAGCTTTGAGTAGCATTATCTCAGATACTTGGCACTATGAAGCCAAGTTAACTATCCATGAATCTGGCTGGCTAGTGTATCAATTTAAAAATATTGATGATAAACTAGTTGTTCTTGTTGAAGGGCTTTATTCGGTCTATGGTCGTCCTCTTCTCCTGCAACCCATGTCAGAACACTTTGATTTTTCTGCTGAAAATATGACCAAAGTGCCAATATAGGTGAAATTTCCAAACCTCCCACTGAAATGCTGGTCCATTCAGGGTCTCTCCAAGATAGCTAGTGTCCTTGGAAAGCCATTGCAGAGTGACAAACTTACAGCCACCATGGAGCGGTTATCTTTTGCAAGAGTCTTGATTGAGCTTGAGTTACTGGATGAACTGCCTAGTTCTATCCCTATTTGTCTCCCTAATGGCACTACTCTAAATCAATCTGTTGTCTATGAAACGTTGCCAAAATTTTGCAAGCACTGCCGGGTCCTTGGACACTCTACTGGAGCATGCACTAAATTCTCTATACTCGTTGATCCTGATAAAGAGGGTTCCTTAGATAAGGCTGGCCTTCCTACTGGCCCTTCTCAGGAGCGACGAGTTAGTGCTTTTCAGCAGTTGGCAAAGACTGTGCAAACTAATAAGGAGCACAACAACGAGGCTGCACACACCAATAAAGGGAATGACAAGGGGCAAACAGAGGTTATACACAACTTGGGGAATGATAAAGGAAAAAAAATTGTTGAGGATACTTGTTTGGATCCCATGCATGTGGAAGCTGATGAATGGGAGATTGTGAGAGGAAAGCACACCAACAAACTTCTAAGCCCCAGAGGCAACAGTGTACAAGATATGGAGTTACATGCAGGGTTTTCTGCCAAAGTCTTTACTAGAAGTGGAGGTCGTAAGCATGCAAACAAAGGCCAAGGAAGTGGTAGGGGTCCACCTGCCACTCCTGCCAAATGATGATTCTCCATTACTGGAATGTCAGAGGGCTTAATAGCCCTCTGAAGCAGTATGAGGTTGTTAGCCTCATGAAAAGAAAGAAGATTGATGTTTGTTGCCTTTTAGAGACTAAGCTATCTTCTTCCAGAGTTGGTCTCATGCATAAATTTAGGCTGAAGTCTTGGAAGTATATCAGTAATAGTGAGGTAGCCTCCACTGCTAGAATTGTTCTTTTTTGGAACCCCAGCACTGTTAATGTTGTTTTGTTTAATTTTTCTGCTCAAGTAGTGCATGTTCTCATTACTTGTTTGGAGAGTCATTACAGTTTCACAGCTTCTTTAGTTTATGGTTTCAACACTATTTCTCTTCGGAGATCTCTATGGGATGATCTGCGGAGGTGGAGTCCTAACTCTCCTTGGCTGGTTCTTGGTGACTTTAATTCGGTGCTTTCTCAAGAGGATAAGCACAATGGAGCTCCTATGACCAACTATGAAGTTACAGACTTTAGGGAATGTTGCTCAGACCTGGGTCTTGCTGACCTAAACTCAACTGGCTGCCTTTACACCTGGTCAAATGGACATGTCTGGAGCAAAATTGATAGAGTTATGGTCAACACTCATTGGTCCACTTTGCAGCAGCAGGCTCATGTGCATTTTGATAACCCCGGGGCTTTCTCGGACGACTCCCCTTCCTCTATTCAACTAGGTTCTCGGCAGCCTTGCAAGAACAGGAATTTCAAATTTTTTAACATATGGGCTGATCACCCTCAATTCTTTGAGTTGACTGAGCAATGCTGGAATACTCCTGTCTATGGTTCCTATATGTTCACTTGGTGTCAGAAGCTGAAACTACTGAAAAGGCCATTGAAGGAGCTCAACAAACTTCATTATAGTCACATCTCTCAACGTGTTACCAGGGCTGAGGAAGAACTGGATAGCCTTCAATCTCTTTTGAATCAAGACTGTGATAACATCCATCTTCAGTCTCAGGACAAGCATCTTAGATCACATCTTGTGCACCTCAAGTCAGCGGAGCAAAGTTACTATGGGCAGAAACTTAAATTCACTTTCTTAAAGGAAGCGGACAAAGGCACCCGTTTCTTCCATGCTTTGCTGAGCCAAAAGCATAGGAGAAATCATATTCCAGCAATCCAGGTCCCCTCTAGCATGTATACTTGTTCGGTTGATGAGGTAGGAGATGAGTTCGTCCGATACTTTAAAAATCTCCTTGGCTCCACAAAACAAACCATCCCCATCAATGAGGATGTCATCCATTGTGGCCCCTATCTTGATGCAGCTTCTCATGATTTTCTTTTGGGACCAGTAACAGACGACCTTATCCAGCAAACTCTTTTCAGCATTGGCAATGAGAAGGCCCTAGGGCCAGATGGTTACTCTTCCCTGTTCTTCAAGAAAGCATGGAGTATAGTGGGTGGTGATTTATATGCTGCAGTCAAGGATTTCTTCGCATCGGGACATTTGCTCAAACAAGTCAACCATTCGGTCATTGCCCTTGTCCCAAAATCATCTAATGCTAACTTAGTTGCTGACTTTCGGCCGATATCTTGTTGCAATGTCATTTATAAGGTTATTTCCAAGATTCTTGCAAGGAGAATGGCGCATGCACTTCAGGATATCATCAGCCCTTGCCAGAATGCTTTTCTAGGAGGAGGAAATATGGCTGACAATGTTCACCTCATGCAGGAGCTTTTACGTCACTATGGGAGAAAGAGGGCATCCCCTAGATGTATTATTAAGATTGATTTCAGGAAGGCTTTTGACTCTGTTCAGTGGTCTTTTTTGCGACAAGTATTGATGTTCTTGGGTTTCCCTCCTCGGTTTGTCAGGCTCCTTATGCAATGTGTTGAAACTGCTTCTTTTTTTGTTTCTGTTAATGGGAATCTATATGGTTTCTTCAAGGGGCAATGTGGTATTCGTCAAGGAGATCCTCTTTCTCCATATCTTTTTATTGCTTGTATGGAATACTTTTTCCAGGATGATTATCTAGAGTACGCAGCACATTGATTTCAATTTCCACCCCAAGTGTTGTGCTTTAGGGGTCAGCCACTTAGCTTTTACAGATGGTGTCCTATTACTCTGTCGGTGTGATACGCAGTCAGTTAGCATATTAAACCAGCAGCTTCTTACTTTTGGTCGGATGTCAGGCCTTGATATTAATGCCGAGAAGTCCTCTATATATT